TTCTCATCATTGCTGTTAGAGAAGTTATAATGAGCAAAGAATTTAGTTTGAAGTGAGAGACTCTAACATGAAGCTAGTTAAAGTGATGAAAATATCATCATCATCACAACACATAAACAACATGCATTTTGCAGTGTTCCCGCAAACAATTTTTCTCCATCGTCATCCCACTGTCTCCACCTTCATGTGGTTTTAGAAATACTGAAGGCCCTTGTGTTTTGCTTAATTAAAATACATCCTTTTTTGTGTTCCCCTCGGACTCCAGCGATAGAATAACTATGCAATGGGGTTGGCTCCTTGAGGAGTTAGCCAATGTTGTGTCAGGCAGCCACTCACAGCTAAATCAACATAGAGAGAGAGAGAGAGAGACACACAGACACGAGAGGAAAAAGGTTGTGGGTGAGGGCGGAGGCGTAGGGGGGTCGGGGGGGGGTCCCACTTTGTGTAAACCCTTGGCTTTTCTGACGGAGCAGCGTTTTCATGCTAAGCTCCTAGCTTGATCTGAAATCCTGTCACTTATCCTCAAAATCCAAGATGAAACACTGTCAGATGTAGTGTGATCCAGGGAATGTGGAGGCGGACTGACAGGCGGGCCAGCAAGACGTAGTACGAGTGACTGATACGGCGAGTGTGTGTGTGCTTGTTGGTGTGGAGGAGCAGAGAGCTGGAGATACTGTGAGAGGAGGAGATTTAATGCAATGATTTGTCAGAGGCAGAGTGAGTGACTCGTGTCGGTTTAACGACCGGCCACCAAGGACACAGTGGAAAATAAACCCACGTAAACTGTACCGTCCTTTTCAATTCGCACATTACAGTTTGTGGACTTTAAAACATAGAAGTTCCGTCTACCTTAAGAATTGCCTTATTTCTATTTCACTCTGTGATTATGAAGTCAGATCGATACCTTCCTCTTTTAAATTGGTCTTTGTATTTGAATCAGAGGTGGAGCACTGTACAGGGCAACAATCTGCATACTATTACGTGTCATTTTGGTTGTGCAGTCAAATGTTTTTTTTGTGGGGTGATATTTGAAAGGGTTCGTACGCCCCTCATCTCTAAATAGCTGTAAGGCACGGCTGGGAAATGGAGTCCTGGCATTTTGTTTTGCATCAGTGCTCCATTTTATTAGAGAGGAACAGAATCGGCATAGAATAATAATTGGAAAATTGTAAGGCTGCTTTCATTATAATTAGCACGATCGCTGGATGCAATAATCCAATTATTTTACTTAAAAGCAAGTTTCCTCATCCCTCAGCAATGTGTTGTGCGGGGATGTGTAACCTCATCCTACATGGACATCCCGGTGAAACGGCAACCTCCCCACTCCCCCCCCTGACATGTAAACACCAGCATGCTTGAGTGTGCTCAGACAGCTGAACATACACTGACATATGAACACCATTTGCGCACATAAACACACACTTACACACACCCCAACAACATGCAAATAATTGAGTAAGATTTGCTGGTACATTAAGTTTAATGTGTTTGACATTGGGAGCGGGAGGACATGGTAAGCATGAGGTGGAGTAACCGCGTCTTTCTTCAATCAGGGCACTGCAGGGCTTCATTTTACAACGTGGGCGCAAAGCGAGGCCCGTCAGAGCTAATTAGCACTGTTGCAAATGGATACAGGTCATGGCTCTCAGCGGATTGGTACACACAGGGGTCACCGGAGGTCAAACCTCCAGTATAGAATGATATAAACAATCATCTATAGACCACAAACCAATCATTCCCTTTTAACGCTATCCACTTCCTGGTTGGGTGCTCTCAGAGGTCAGGGGTCAATGTACAAAAAGACAACTGAGCGGGTGGGTCTGGGGGTGGGAGGCACATGCTACTGATAATCTATTCATTTATGCATTAGCATTAATGCACCAGCAGAACATCGATATTTGAATAAAACTTGATATGTGTATGCAATTATTTTTAACCTTACATATACATTTTTTCTAAATGTGTTTATTATTTTATTCATTTTCTTTTCTTGTTTGTACCTTCATATTTACAATAAAACCTCACAGGCACTCTAAAGCAACACAAAATATAACATTTTATTTTAAGTTAATACCACACATCCGCATGTGCTTTCCCCCACATACTAAAAAAAAGTCTCTTCAACATCAGTATGAAGTTCCACAATTAGCTGAGCAGAGAGATAGGACCAAAGAACGGAGAGGAAGGACGGGGGGGATAGGGGGGAACCAACTCTTGAGGAATTGAATTACCAGAGCCTTTTCTCATTATCATTTAGCCGTCTTTTATGGCCCACCAGTAAGAGATGATGTTCCCATGACCCCACACAATAAAGAGACATATTCTTCAATCCTGCCGCGATGAAATTCCTGCAAATAAAACCTTTGTGCCGGGCAACAGCTAATTATTTGACAGATTGGCCCCCTTCTGGATCGGGTTACAGTGTGGAGTGGCCGTGTTTTTACCCCTCTACCTCCCCTTACACCACCAGCCCCCCCCCCCCCCCCAGCCCCACTGCAAAGAGGGGCCACTTGAGAAATCCCAGAGGGCCTCATCTTTTCAGGAGATTATATATTCGCCCCCCTTCCCCTCCCGCTCTCTTTTCCTCCTCTGCTCAACCATCTATCCATCTGAAATCAGGGGAGCGTGGTTTGTGTGTGCATGTGTGTCTGTCTGTTAGTGACAGCAGTCATTTCATAGTTTAAAAGGTGTTCTCAAGCAGAAATATTTAATCTTCCCACGGAAATAAAGTTGGATGGCGGAAGAGAGCCAGAGACAGCAGGAGAAAGGGAGCGATTAAAAAAAATAACATGTCCATTACATGTAGTGTTATGTGTACTACTACGCATCCAGTGTGTTTTTCCGTAGTACAAAATTAGAGAGTGGGGAACATTAACAGATTAAAGTTTTGGGTGGGCATGCCTTTGGCATTGATTCAGTCCACTAATAACAAGAGTTTGTCATTAGGGTTCGGACATGGACCACCAAGATAAATGCCAACACATGTTTAAATTATCTGGAGAGTAATGGCGTTTTCCTTCAGCCCTTTCCCTCCTCATAAAGATCCCTTGTTGACTCAACTATGTAGACATTTTGAGTTATCAGCACAGGTTTAATCTGTTGCTTATTTTGCACCCATGCATATGGTATAATTCAACAGGAAGCATGCATTAAAGGTGGTTAAAACTGAACAAATAATTAAATTAAAGTGAGGGAATTCCATTTGTTATTAATTTGATTTAACTAAAGACAGCCTTTAAAGCTTTTGGGTGAACTGAAATAAAAGAAAAGTGTATAAAAACTATCCAAACATACAGAAGGATTTATAAATAAAAAAAAACTAATGTTACACTAAAGTAGGTTTGTGTTTTCACAGCTTTTAGACACTAATATTATCCTGATATAAAGTAATCAGATTCAACTTATGAAAACAATGTATTCTCCGCTCAATATAATATCAAACATTGACAGCCTTCATTCAGATTTTTGGCTGTGACTCAAAGTGTTTCAACTTAAACTATGAATGAATGGCACCACAATTTGTATGTTTGTCTTAACACATGTTGTGCTTAAACTGAGTCACCCACAGCACCAAATGACATGTATGTGTATGCCTCATTTTAACCTCAAGTGAAAGACTTTAAAGACTACAACTGGATAAACTTGTTAGGATTCCTCCTAAAACTGGACAATCCGCCACGTTCTCATTGTCCACTCTCTGCCTGCAGCCCGCCAGACGCTTGCCGGGCTGCAGGTTGCATGTCCGGGATGCCCGACTACTGTGCTCACCTGGCATGAACCCAAGCCAGCCGAGCCTGGAGTATTCATTGCTCGACCCGGGTGAAGGTCATGGAGTCCAGCCCTTCCCCGCTCCGCTCCCCAATGAGCAAACATATGGTCACAGAGCACCTTGAACATGTTTGGGTGAGCAGAACTACTCGGCCCAGGCCGCCGCGGCGAAACGAGACGGAGGCACCGAACGGAGGTTCAGACTCACCTTGCTAAAGCAGAACAAGGATAAGGAAAGAGGCTGCGAGGCTGCGAGGCCGCCAACAGCAGCGGACGCCAGTCACTAGTTGCTCGCACGCAGGAAAGCCCACACGGAGTCCCCCATCGAGATATAGCGGACGAAAAGCTCCAACGGAGCTTCCCGGGCGCCTGCTCGGGCACCCTGGTTTTCCGCCGATATAAATGCGTGTAATCATAAAGAGAAACAATATCAGCGGCGCGTTGTTCAAACAGCCGAGCCTCGTCTAATCGCTTCCACGTTTGCTCCGTGTTAAGCTCATTAGTGGGGGACCTAAAGGCATGTCGGAAAATAAGACAAGCGACTAGGAAAAAAAAAACCCAAAATCTTTGGATAATGGATTCTTGCTGTTTTGAGACAGTAAAAACAAACAGGTCTGCGGCTTCGGTAATGAATACGCTGTAAACATCAACCCAGAGCGCGAGTTTATCACAGACGTACAGCTGAAACGTACTTGTGTGTACGCGTGTGCATTCTCACACAGCACAAGCACACCTGTGTGTGTGTGTGTGTGTGTGTGGTGTTGAAGATGATGACTGACTGTTAGACTTTGTGAATGGAATCTCTGGTGTCTGAGCGTTCGGCCCAGGTGGCGACTGGAAGGCCGACTTCATTAGCCTTAAAAGAGGAAACAAAGGAAGATGCATCGTAAAAAAAAGAAAAAAGTGCCATCCCTCATCTGCGAGGCCACCGCCTGACACATTAGGAATCTGTATGCTCAATTAACCACTGGCAGGCTCATTTTTCCTCTCCCTCTCTCTCTCTCTCTCTTCCCGTAGAGCAAGCCAGAGCGTTCACACCGGGGCTAAAACACGTTTATGATGTTTAAACGTATTTGGTTCGATTTGCAGTGAGGGGACGCAGAAAAATGTCTTAAATGTGTGACAATTATTTTAAAATAATCATTGCTAATACTTCTTCGAAGAAAATGAAGTGCATCTTATTGTGCTCCCCAAACCTTCGTCAATAAATTGTACCAACGGTCTTGTTGCAGGAGGAAGAGGAGAACCGGATGGTCGTGAGGACGGGAAGTCACGTGCCAAAGAAATAAGTCTGATTTGCACGTGAGTTTTGTTTGTAGACTTTAGTCTGTTTCAAAGTGTGGTAGGTTGTTTTCACAGGAATTTGTCTATGCATATTACAAATACGGACAACTCAGAAAAAAGTAGAACATGCAACAATTTTCTTGTTCCTATTAACTCCACACACACGGATTTTGTTTTTTCAAACTACCAGCCTTCAGCAGACATTGCTTGAGGCAATCCGATTTACCTTCAGAGTCACCATAGGCTTCATACAGCTTTGTTCACATATGCAACATTGGCCCCAACACTCAAATCTTCAGCGCTGCAGACCTGATTGGCGGCAATCAGCGTGCATAATCTCCTGATCTCCTACCTGATCTCCTCTCAGTACTAACTTCTGCGTGGTGACTTGGCATTTATGCGTTTCTACTTGTTGCACTACAACATCCGTTCAGCACTTTGTCACCTGTTTACAAATTGCCGTCGCCCTTTTGTTGGACTTGGTTAATAAATGCTTTTATTTATTAAGTATACTTGCGTGTCTCATGTTTTTGTCACAGTTTAAGAGTTCGGCTGTGACAAACACGACGTGTTGGCGTTCCTCTTTAACAGTTGCTGGTATAATGCACCATGAAGCAAACGCATCCCCAACATAAAAGTACTAACAATAATCTTTATATAGACAACGTTGACCCCAGTCTTCCCCTTTAATCGACGTGAACATGCACCCACTCACAAAAATCAAACCAGCGCCTTCACCCCCCCCCCCTCCGCAGCATTTCCCCTCTTAAACTGGGTGGCGACCTGAGGATCTTTATCTTTCCATGAACCTCTTGTGAAAAATGACTAAGTGCTATAAGGATCTGGCTGAGGTGGGTTTTTTGGGCGGGGGGGGGGGGGGGGGGCGTTGCTGTGATACGCATCAGCCTTTGATTAACGAGGTGAGCTCTTTAAAATCACAGGGGTCACGGCTCAGGAGGCCTCTGTCCATCACTTCGCCACACTTCACAGGGCAAACTTCTCTTTAATATCGGACCCACCCCCTTTCCCTCTGCGCTGTCCCCCTTCTCGCTCTCTATCTCTCTCACCCTCCATACCTCTCTTTTGAGGTCCATCAGACAGATGAAAAATAGCATGCAGCTGGCCGAGTACTTCCTTCCCTTTTGTCGGGGTCAACAGTTCAGTACGCTGATGGAGACCCTCACACCTTCATTAATAGGACCCCCCCTGCACTCACACAGGTTGCTGTGCTGCATCGCTGGATGGCCATCACTCCTTCCTTGCTCTGGCTTTTACACTCCTTCATCCCTGCATTAGTCATTTATTATCTTGCTGATAACCGGCTGTTTACCCTATTTGTCTTTTAGAAAGAAGTTGAATATTTAATCCATGACCTTGGTCAGCACATTTTTTAGGAACAGCTTTTAATCAAAGAATCTTCCAATTCATTTAAGCTTTAGATAACACAATATCGCACCAACCAACAACACCCATTGTGTCATGTGCCTTTCAATAAAGCTTTTTAAAGGGAATATTTAGAGCTGTTTTGGGATGTTCAGTAGGTCCAAATAAGTCTCTTTGGGCAATAAGCAATGCAGTAAAACAATTCTTACAAAAGATGGTCTTAATAATAATATTATGGCACAACTGGATCGGTCATAGATGATGAATCTCGATGCCTGCTTTATTAGGGGCGCGGAACAGAACCGACCGACAGCAGAGGCCCGGCTGCTCGCCCTCAGACTGCGCTCAACGAGAGGCGCCGTCATAATGCTGCTGAGCTGCTAGTTTCCTTCATTATGGAGATGCACAGTGCCTGATCAGAGGCGCCTCAGTGTACACGTGTGTGTGTGTGTGTGTGTGTGTGTGTGTGTACTGGTCTGTGCCGATTAAGAGGCGGATTAGCCCTCCATCCTGAGAAGCGAGGCGACCAAGGGGGTTGTGCGGGGGGAGGGAGGTGGTGGTGATGGTCGTAGTGGGAGGAGGAGGAGGAGTGGGGTGTCCCCCTCCTGGAGACAAGCCCTGACCTTCTCATTTCATCCTCATTAGTATCTCGTGTCAACAGAGCAGCCACTCCTTAATCATCTGCTATCATCCCAGGCCTGCACAAACACACACACACACACACACACACACACACACACACACAAATAAAGACACAATAAAGACAAACCTGCCCAGGCTACTTTTACAGATAGAATTGTTAAAATTCATTTAACAATATTTCTTTTCTATCACAACAATTTCACATGAAGAACAAGTGATATATTAAAAATCTCATCCCTCCGTGTATCGACAAACTACCTCTGTATTTTCTACCCATTACCATGCAGCAAACTACGCATTCATCAGACTTGGCTAATGGGACGGTGTAGTGAGAGGGCCGGCAGAGGGTGGGCTGGTATGAGTGTGTCGGCCTCCGTGCCACGGAGACCCCCGGCAGGGTCGGGGGGAGCAGGGGCTTGGGGTGCCAGCACAAATGAGCGCCATTCATTTCCCCTCTTCGGCATATGGTGGCCCATTGTCCTCGGCCACAGAGGCAGAAGTGATGCAATTTGTTGGCATGTCCTGTCATTTCACAAACTGCCCACTGAGGCTCTGGCAAGCAGAAGACAAGCAAGGGCAGCTTGTTGTTCCACACTCTAACGTGAACAAGACGTATGCAGTAAATATTTTGATGATGACAATGCAGCGAGAAACAACTGAATTAATTAGAGTACGTCTGCAAGAAGATTATACAAGACAGTATCTGTGTCAATCCCACACAGTTGTTTTCAGGTTATAACAGAAGCTTATCCTCATTTCAAGAATAAGATGTGATCTAATCTCGGCATTAAGACATGATTTATAGGCAAAGAAGATGCTCGTGGCAAAACAACAAATATAGAAAAACACCAAAACGCTGCACTGAAAAAAATTGGAATCAAAACCAACAAAGAGAGAATAAACAGCGAAACCTGAGAGTCGAGGGAGAGCGAACTGGGCAGAACAGCCCGTTCCTCGTTTCACTTTGCCAAGGATCAAGCTACTGTCTGACGAGAGAGGGGAAGGAGTCTTGTTTAACTTCCCGAAAAAAAGCAAACTTTTGACATGAGGTGCACAATATGAGCAATGCAGCAGCAGAAAGCAAGTAAGTGTCTAGACACTACTGCATTTAGGTCAGACAGAGGAAAACATATGATCACAGGGTCACGCACAAAACGATGGTAGTATATGGTGTTGACAGGCGTTTGGATCGCCGGGTCAAAAGTCAGTGAACCCATTCCACACTGTGTGTGTGTGTGTGTGTTTGTGTACTGCCTCCCTGCTTCACTGGGTGGTTTCACTCAATACTGGCTGCATCAGCTGGAGGTTTTTGATGTTCGTTGTCCGCACAACATGCAACCACAGCCTCTTTCTTCATGTGTGCGCTCTGTGTGTGTGTGTGTGTGTGTGACGGGAACAGAGGCTGTTCCACTGAGCTCCTGAGAAGAAATCCACAGAGGGCAGCACCTTCAGACAGAAGTCAACCTCACTTCAACCGCTGTGAAGATTGATGACGTTGGTCCTCGTTTTCAGTGGGAGTAGGAAACAAGTGGCCCTCCGAGACTCATTACACCTCGGCAAGATTTGGCTAATGGAGTGACATCGCTCCTGACTACCAGATTCATCATTTATTTTTCGAAAAAAAAAGGCCAGCTACAGAACTGTACCAAAATTAGACATGTCCTGTACTGTTTTGTTGACTGTCGGATTCAGCCAGTCAGGCTGAGGTCCGTCTAATACCCCGATCGTATATCCCTGACCTCAACCCTGGCCACACTCTCCTGCCCACTTCCCCCCCTTTGTTCTTCTTGCCACCATGCTGAGGTACTCGAGATCCCTCTCCGGCCCTATCCTTAACCCTCCACCCCCGCCAACCCCCGACCTGTCAGGGACAGGCTTCCCATGTCCATCAGTGGGTGATGGATGAGGTGGGAGGTCGTCACCCCACTCTGAAGAGTTCACTGATCCTATCAGCCATGCAGACACCTCCAAATCGTAGAGGGGGACGTTGCTAAAATGATACATTTTGGGAGAGCGACTGGAAAACAGGGTCCCTGCTGCTTTGTAAGATTTACTTTGAGAGAGGTGTTTTATTGACAGTAAGTCATACTTCTGAATCCCATCAGCTGTCGAACATTTCTGATGTCATATTCAAGGATACCAGGAAGGAGGGATCTTAAACTGACGACAGTTTGTGGGGAGAATAAGGTGAATAAGGTCGCGCTAGTCGCAGTCATTGACTTTCAGCAACCAACCCAAAGCAGCAGGGCGCTCACCCCTTTCTCACTCCAAAACCAAGGGGTGTATTTCTTTTAAAAACGTGTTGTCTTCACACCTCCCAAGACCTTCAGAATGTAAAGTCTACGGATTTCCCTTTTTAATGTATTAAATGATGATGAAAGTTAACAATAAATGACTTTTAATGATGAGAATGATGATGAGGATGGAGGATTCATAATGCGACGTGCACCCGGTAGGGGTCCTGTGGAAATGGAAGGGGCTGAACCTGTAAATGATTGTTTGTTGCATTATATATTATTTCCAGTGGTGTGACGTATGAAGATGTATCGCATTTTCCTTTCAACTTCTTCTCCGATAGATTTCTAACGCTCGGTATATAAATCGAAATGATTTCCTGAAAGTGATTTTCCGTAAAAACGCAATGAAATGTGATTGCGCCCTGGTGTAAACTAGTGCAGTGTCTCACCCCTGACTGACCTCAAATTGCCTCTTGATGCCGATGGCGCTGCAGGAAAACGCTCGTCCTATTGGCTCATTCCACATATGTCCTGCTAAACAAAGCTATGGGTCATAGTCGCTGTATGAATTGTTGTTGTAGTGAAAACCTGGAGACGGCAAACTGTTCCCATGTAAGTCTGTTCTTACTGCAACAGAGCGCATGGCAGCCAAAGGAGACTGTGGGTTTCTCTCATGCCATTCAGTCAGACGGAGATTGATATACTATAAACCCACGAGAAAAATAAACAATACACAATAGTGTCAAGCTTCGCCAC